TAGCGCCGGCCTACACCAGCACCCTTACTCATGTTGGAGACTCCAAGACGAGGGAATTCCCCGGCGGTCGGCGCGCGCACTCACCTTACTCATGTTGTCAGTCCTCCGGTTATTGGCGGTTCGGACGGTGCTCGCTCGTCAAGTCCCTGGATGGTCGACAGAGAAGAGGACGATATTGCAAACAAACCTGCCGGTTGCGAAACATATATACACACATTTTTATGCCGGTGAAGCCCCCCTCCCCCTCCTACCTCTTCAAAGGGGCCAGATAGATAAGCAGCGGCAAGTTAAGAACTCCGACAACTCGTAGAAGGACACCCCGACGCACGACTCGCTGCGACTTCGCTAGGGCTCTCCCCGGGGTCTGAGACGGTCTGAGAGCCGTGCGGGTGGGCAAGCCCGCTCGCCACCCCGGCTGTGCGGTGCAGCCTGACTCCCAGGGCCCCCCCCCCCCCCCCTACTTCTGTCTTGGCTTGTGTTGTTGTTCCCCTCCCTGTGTGTATCCTGTTATTTCTCACAGGCGCCACACCACCAGCCCGCTCCCCTTATATGACGGACACTCCTGAGCGATACAATGCCCGTAATTGTGTTTTTATTTTCATGAAGATGGCCATTGCCAGAGCGAGCAAAGTCCCCCTGTATATGGAACTCGACCATCTTGACATCGTAAGATTAGGTACACTAACGAACATTTAGTAATAGGGCACCTCTTCTCCAAAGAAGAAAAGCAGTTATAAGTGAGTTTCACGAAAAATTCGGTATCTCAACAGATGGTTGTAACAAAATGCGCCTGACGGCAACGTAACCCTCTATATTTTTGAGATTTACATGGCACACTCCACCGTAGAAAATTGTTGCAATAAGTTTCGTAAGATTACGACAAATTATCTTTTTACAGGGCACGTGACTTATGGACGGAACAGCGCCGCTGGAAACGCTTACCGCACACAGCTCGGCACAATATCGGAACAGGAACAACACGAAGGCTGAGGTCAGCCTTGCGGCGCGGCGGCGCTCGGCGACCGGAAGCAAACGGAAGTGACCGGAAGTAAGTGACCCACGCCGCGCGCGCTGGCGGGGAAGGGCCGGGCGGGGGCTGGCGCGCTGGGCCGCGGGGGCAGTCTGCGGAACGGTAGTGGCAGTGCGTTAGGTACAATAATACTGCTCCCGGCGACCATAAACTTAGGTTAATATTGGACACACTGGCCTGGCGCAGTTGGCTTGCGGGGCGGAGGGGGGG